CCGGCCTGGCCGTTGCCGCTGGTGCACGTGCCAGGCCATGTAGGGCCCTGTGGTCGTGGGGGAAAGGGCATTGCTGGCTGGCGCTGCGGGGATGTGGGCGGGCTGGCGCTGCGGGAGCCAGGCACGTGGTGCCTGATGGCAGCTGTAAGGGACACCACACACCCCTTACAGCTGCCGTCAGGCACCCCCCATCGGTTGGCGCCCTGGAAAGCTGCCCGGCTCGCCCATGCCTCCGTCCAGCCCTGGTGACAAATGTACACTATATTCAGTAGGGATATTAGATAGCAATTAATTGAATAGTCATGTAATCATATCAAATTTTAGCAGTTACACAAATATTCAACAGACCCAGGGACAGGCCCAGCAGCCAGTGCACTCCCAGCCCCACTCCTGGGGAACCCCCTGCCACTGAGCCTCTGAGGCAACAACATAGGTGACAAGTGGGAGCCGGTCTGTGAGGGGAGCTGGTTTAAATGCAGAGTCAGCAAGTGTGGGGAAGCAGCAGCAGCCCCTGTTTGCGGGGGGCCTGAGCTCCCCACGGACAGAGGCTGTGCCAGCATCTCACAGAGCAGCCTCTATCTGTGGTGGGACCAGACTTGCCGCACAAAGGCTGCCCCACGCAAACACCCCGACCCTCTTCCCTTCCCCCACCCCCCGCACTGCTGCCTCTGATAGAGACAGGAGCACAGGGGAGGCAGACAGCTCCCACCCCGAGCACTGGCTCCTGCCTGCTTCTCCTCACTGTCTATGTGGGAGGTAGCAAGGGGGGGCAGGTAGCTGCATGGAGATGGCACGCAAGGAGAGCCAGCTTAATAGCCAGTTCCCCACACATACTGGTTCCCACTTGGTCCCCCTCCCCACAGTGGTGCCTCTTTTGAAAGCCAGCTTCCCACATGTACCAACTTCTGCCTACCGTAGCTGCCTCGGATACAGAGGCAGCAAGGGGAAGGGATGCATGTAGTCGATCAGGTTAATTGTGTATTCGACTACATGTTTACATCCCTAATATTAAGGCAATGTCTGTCTAGGTGCAACATATGACTTGCAGGAGCTGCTAAGCCAGCTACTGAGTGCCACAGAGTGAAATAAATACAAATAAAGCATCACGGCAAGGAAACTGAACGAAGGAAAAATCACAGCTGAACCAGGCTAGGGAATCATCTGCTCCAGGGATCAGGTAGGAGAATGGAGCCAGCCAAGTTACCTCATCCGGTTCCTTGTGGTCTGAACACTGAGGACATCTCTACACTGGGTTTTCAAACCCACATCAGCAAGTCACAGAGCCCAGCTATACAAACTCAGGCTCACACTAAAAACAGCCGTGTATACATGGGCTGAGCTAGACTGGACTGGAGCTCAGGCTCCAAAACCCATTTCTTCCCCAGCTTCGGAGCCTGAACACCTATACAGCTGGTTTTAACATCGGGTCCAAGCCCACATCTGTAGCATCAGGCTTTGAGACTCACCGCTATGGGTTTGAAGACACAGCATATACATACCCAGAGAAATTGAACTAGGGATGTTATAAATTAAAAAATTGTGTAACTAAATTTTTTTCAGTTACATGGTTAATCGCAGCCTTAAAGTGGGGCTGGTGCAGCTCCCAGAGGCCACTGTGGGGCTGTTGAAACTGTCAGGGCTCCTACAGCTCCCGGTCTGCAGAGCTGCTGTAAGCTCCCAGAAATCCTATGAAAAATGTAACCAGTGCTGGTAACCAATAAGCATTAGCTTATCGGTTAAACAGTTACTCGGTTACACTCTTATATCCTTACACTGAACAATGTGACGCATCACCCTGAAGAGCAGACTCTTTTAGACGGAGCTGTAGTCCACATAGATAGCATCTGAGTACGCGGGTAGCCTCCTTACCCACGAGAATCGAGATGGGATCACGGAGGAATTTGCGTTTGGTCAGGATCTCTGGCAGGTGGCGGAAGACAGAGATGCTGGTAATTAGGTGACTGCTGATGTCATTGACCATACTAGCAAGCTGGGTCAAAGTTGGGGAAAATTCAACCTGGAAACACAAAGGGGCAGGGCTAGCAGAGAGGGGGACCCACAAGAGGTGGGCAGGCAACAAATGATCAGCAAACTCAAAGAGACCTACCACATAAGCACTGGAAAATCTATCCCATCCCCACAGCTGGAAAAGCACTGGCAGGCTGCAATATACTGGACCTGAAAATCCTGTCATTCTGATTTCCATCTTTCTACCCCCTTCCTCTCCCAGCTCCCACACACACCAGCTCTGGCCCCGCCACTCCTCGGGCCACGTCGCTTGGGGGAGGGGCTGGGGGAAAAAGGTGGAATGGGGTGGAAGGCAAGAGGAAGGAGAGGCAGGGTGAAGGCGGAGTAAGGGCAGGAAGGGGGCAGAGCAGAGACGGGAGAGAGGTAGGGCCTGGGGAAGAGGCCCTTCCCTGATCTGCGGGGCAGTGGGTCACATAGCCAGTGGGCCCCTGTGGACTCCTCTTCCCAGTTGCCCCTAGTCAGAGTTGAGGGAGAAAGAAAAGTGAGAAGGTAATCAGACAGCCATGATTTTAAGATCAAATCTCTTTTGCCTGAAGGCATGCAGTGAATGTGTTAGCCTGGCACAACTGAGCAGTAGGGATGTAAACAAGCAATCGATTAACTGATAAGCCTAGGCTTATCTGTTGATCTTCTCAACTACTCACACTTCCCATCCCCACCCCCTGCTGCCTGGACCCACCACAGGCAGAGACTGGTCCCCAACAGCAGCCCCTGTCCGCAGGGGGTCCGAGTGCCCAACAGACAGAAAGAGCAGAGATCCCCTGTGGACAGGAGCTTCTGCCAGACCAACTTCTGTCCATGGCCAGCCCAGACTGCCACAGACAGAAGCTGCTTTGCATCAGCCTCCCTCCCTCTCCAAAGCAGCCTCTGTCTGTGGGGAGCTCAGACCCCCACAGACAGGGGCTGCTGCCCTCCTGCTCTG